TTGAAAAAATTCCAGCGCACTATCTCTAATCAATAGAGAATAACAGAAATGTATTGTTAATGGTCAGGAATTATTGCAAGTATTGGTGTTACGTAATTGTTGTGGTAAACCCTCCTACAGTACAATGAACTGTTCCTCCTCTCATAAATACTAACTGCGAGACTTCCTAGGAGAGAGTCGTTGAGGCAGTCGTAGAGCATGCGAGACACAGTGCAACCTGATCTTTCGGACGGACATTTCTAACTGCTAAATTCCCTAGGTAGGCCATCAGACATGATCGAATGACTGAAAGGAATGAGAACAACAACTACTCCTGTGAAAATATGAGAGTTGCAGTTTCACATTCCCAGAAGGTTACGGAATATAACAAAGATCTGGGGAAAGTTCAAAGAGTACAGCCATCCAAAGCACGAAGACAGGCTCAAGTCTCATCAAGAACTACTTCTTTATTTCATTTTCACATTGCATACTGTTGTGGTTAAACACTCCTTCAGTAGAATGAACTCTTCTTCCTTTCATAAATACTAACTGCGAGACTTCCTAGGGGGGAGAGTCGTAGGGCAGCGGAGATGCAGTGTTAACCTACCTTTCGGACGTACACCTCTATCTGCTTATTACTTGCTTTGTATATATGCTAATTAAATACACTTGTTTAACCTACCTTCGTCTTCCGCGTCTTTCTTTGCTAGCTCCTAAACAGGCCACAACAGTAATTAAAATTATTACATAAATGTATTAAAGAATAGGAAGAAAAGAAATATAAGTAGTCGGGATTTATAGCAACAGTAACTGAGAAAACTGGACTGTTTTATGTATGAAAAGTATCATCGTATAACCGCTTGTTCCTCTCGTCGCATGTCCATTACGCCCTTGCGTCATACCGTGTCGTTTTGATTGCTAGGAAAGACGGAAGTAAGATGAATTCCACACGCTACGTGTTTCGGTGAGGAGGGTGAGAAGCATCCATAATGAGAAAGGAAAAAGAGAACGCTCATTTTGATAACTCAGACATGCTTGGAAATTCGTTTTTAAACAACATATGACGTAATATTTCATTAATAAAATCTTTAAATTTAAAAAAAAATTACATTATACGCTCTGCCATTACCTCGGATAAATAATGCAATATTTCGTTTTAATTGCGACGCAATCCATCAGAAAAAAAAGAAGATGCTGTCTGCATAAAGTAAAGAGGAGAAACGGGAAATTATAACGCCATCAAGTAGCCCAACATTTGTTTCCGTTAAGCGGAAAGTCTTGTCAAATTTTTAATCTTTTAAGTTTGGAACCTTTTACTTTAAATAACCACCTGCATTCATAATTATGATTGTTATTGCAATATTTTTTTTTTAAGTTTAGTTGAAAGATTTCACGGTTCAATGGCGGGATTTCCTCGAATATTTTATGCTTTTTGAAATCGCAAGTAACGTATTCAAATCATTAAACGAAGATTTATGACTCATCAGAAAATTCAGCACAGGAACAACTTAAAATTTTCACAGATAATTTTCCATTGATAAAAATATTATTCTTTATTTGCGGAAGAGAAGATTTATGTTGTATTTAAAAATGTAACCAGAATCGATATTTACAAATAGTATTAATCTCGGTCCAAGGACAAGGTTTTAAAAGGTTCATATTTCATACAATCAATTGTTAAACTTTGCTATTATTTTAAAGCTATTAGGAAGAATATTTTATTGTTTCACTCAAGACAATTTTTTCAATCACTTGTGACGTAAATGCAGTTAAATTTTCGCATGTGTCAGCTCAAAACAGATGCTCTACTATTGTGACATGTACTTTTAGAACATGGAAGATCATAGCTCTCCACAACTTCTGTATTAACAATAAGCTATTCAAAATGGGCTATTCGCGGTTTTATTCTGCTCCTCTCGTATTCAATGTCCTGTAAAACTGTTCCTTAAGTCTTCTTTGTTGCTTACACGCTCCATCCATGATATTCTCAGCATCCTTCTATAGAACGACATACCATAATTCCCTCATGTATAATACGCATTTATTCAAAAGAAATAAGCAGAATTAGGGCTGCGTATTATGCACAGCTACAAGCATTCTTTAAAAACTTGCCCTCTCGTAGATCGCTTTCAGTTGCGAATTGACTACTCACCCCATACGGATTTTAGATTAGCATTCTCATCTTTTCTCTTTTTATCATTCTGTTTCTGCCAATGTCTTCTTCAGAATAACATTCTCATCCTTTGTCTTTTTATCATTGTGTTTCTGGCAATGTCTTCTTCAGATTAGAATTCTCATCCCATCTTATTCTATTATTGTGTTTCTGGAAATGTCTTCTTCAAATTAGTATTCTCATCCTTTCTCTTTTTATCATTCTCTCTGTGCCAATGTCTTCTTCAGATTAGCATTCTCATCCTTTCTCTTTTTATCATTCTCTCTGTGCCAATGTCTTCTTCAGATTAGTATTCTCATCCTTTCTCTTTTTATCATTCTCTCTGTGCCAATGTCTTCTTCAGATTAGTATTTCATCCTCTTTTTTATCATTCTGTTTCTGTGCCAATGTCTTCTTCAGATTAGTATTCTCATCCTTTCTCTTTTTATCATTCTCTCTGTGCCAATGTCTTCTTCAGATTAGCATTCTCATCCCATCTTATTCTATTATTGTGTTTCTGGAAATGTCTTCTTCAAATTAGTATTCTCATCCTTTCTCTTTTTATCATTCTGTCTGTGCAATGTCTTCTTCAGATTAGCATTCTCATCCTTTTCTTTTTTATCATTCTGTCTGTGCCAATGTCTTCTTCAGATTAGTATTCTCATCTTTTTATCATTCTCTCTGTGCCAATGTCTTCTTCAAATTTATTCTCATCCTTTTCTTTTTATCATTCTGTCTGTGCCAATGTCTTCTTCAGATTAGTATTCTCATCCTTTCTCTTTTTTTATCATTCAATGTCTTCTTCAGATTAGTATTCTCATCATTTCTCTTTTTATCATTCTGTCTGTGCCAATGTCTTCTTCAGATTAGTATTCTCATCATTTCTCTTTTATCATTCTGTCTTGCCAATGTCTTTTTTATTCTCATCCTTTCTCTTTTTATCATTGTGTCTGTACCAATGTCTTCTTCAGATTAGTATTCTCATTCTTTGCCAATGTCTTCTTCAGATTAGTATTCTCTTTCTTTTTTATCATTCTGTCTGTGCCAATGTCTTCTTCAGATTAGTATTCTCATCCTTTCTCTTTTTATCATTCTGTCTCTTCTTCAGATTAAGTATTCTTCATCCTTTCATCTTTTTATCATTCTCTCTGTCAATGTCTTCTTCAGATTGGTATTTCTCATCCCTTTCTCTTTTTATCATTGTGTCTGTGCCAATGTCTTCTTCAGATTTATTCTCATCCTTTCTCTTTTATCATTCTCTCTGCCAATGTCTTCTTCAATTAGTATTCTCATCCCATCTTATTCAGAAATGTCTTCTTATTATTCTCATCCTTTCTCTTTTTTTATTCTGTCTGTCAGATTCATTCTCATCCTTTCTCTTTTTATCATTCTCTCTGTGCCAATGTCTTCTTCAGATTAGTATTCTCATCCTTTCTCTTTTATCATTCTGTCTGCCAATGTCTTCTTCAGATTAGTATTCTCATCCTTTCTCTTTTTATCATTCTGTCTGTGCCAATCCTTTCTTCTTCAGATTAGTATTCTCATCCTTTCTCTTTTTATCATTCTCTCTGTGCCAATGTCTTCTTCAGATTAGTATTCTCATCCTTTCTCTTTTTATCATTCTCTCATCAATGTCTTCTTCAGATTAGTATTCTCATCCTTTTTTTATCATTCTGTCTGTGCCAATGTCTTCTTCAGATTAGTATTCTCATCCTTTCTCTTTTTATCATTCTCTCTGTGCCAATGTCTTCTTCAGATTAGTATTCTCATCCTTTCTCTTTTTATCATTCTGTCTTCTTGATTAGTATTCTCATCCTTTCTCTTTTTATCATTCTGTCAATGTCTTCTTCAGATTAGTATTCTCATCTTTCTCTTTTATCATTCTCTTTTTATCAATGTCTTCTTCAGATTGCATTCTCATCCCATCTTATTCTATTATTGTGTTTCAATGTCTTCTTCAAATTAGTATTCTCATCCTTTCTTCTCTTCAGATTAGTATTCATCTCATCATTTCATCTTTTTATCATTCTGTCTGTGCCAATGTCTTCTTCAGATTAGTATTCTCATCCTTTCTCTTTTATCATTCTGTCAATGTCTTCTTGATTAGTATTCTCATCCTTTCTCTTTTATCATTCTCTCTGTGCCAATTAGTATTCTCATCCTTTCTCTTTTTATCATTCTGTCTGTGCCAATGTCTTCTTCAGATTAGTCTCTCTTGCCAATGTCTTTTTTCAGATTAGTATTCTCATCATTTCTCTTTTATCATTTATCATTCTGTATTCTCATCCTTTCTCTTTTTATCATTCTCTCTGTGCCAATGTCTTCTTCAGATTAGCATTCTCATCCCATCTTATTCTATTATTGTGTTTCTGGAAATGTCTTCTTCAAATTAGTATTCTCATCCTTTCTCTTTTTATCATTCTGTCTGTGCCAATGTCTTCTTCAGATTAGCATTCTCATCCTTTCTCTTTTTATCATTCTGTCTGTGCCAATGTCTTCTTCAGATTAGTATTCTCATCCTTTCTCTTTTTATCATTCTCTCTGTGCCAATGTCTTCTTCAGATTAGTATTCTCATCCTTTCTCTTTTTATCATTCTGTCTGTGCCAATGTCTTCTTCAGATTAGTATTCTCATCCTTTCTCTTTTATCATGCCAATGTCTTCTTTTTATTCTCATCCTTTCTCTTTTTTCATTCTCTCTGTGCCAATGTCTTCTTCAGATTATTATTCTCATCCCATCTTATTCTATTAGAAATGTCTTCTTCAAATTAGTATTCTCATCCTTTCTCTTTTTTATCATTCTGTCTGTGCCAATGTCTTCTTCAGATTAGCATTCTCATCCTTTCTCTTTTATCATTCTGTCTGTGCCAATGTCTTCTTCAGATTTATTCTCATCCTTTCTCTTTTATCATTCTCTCTGTGCCAATGTCTTCTTCAGATTAGTATTCTCATCCTTTCTCTTTTTATCATTCTCTCTGTGCCAATGTCTTCTTCAGATTAGTATTCTCATCCTTTCTCTTTTTATCATTCTGTCTGTGCCAATGTCTTCTTCAGATTAGTATTCTCATCCTTTCCTCATTCTCTTCTCAATGTCTTTTCAGATTAGTTTTCATCCTTTTCTTTTTTTTCTGTCTGTGCCAATGTCTTCTTCAGATTAGTCTTCTTCATTTTATCATCTCTTTCTCAATTCTTTTATCATTCTCATCCTGTCTTTTTCTATTATTGTGTTTCCAATGTCTTCTTCAGATTAGTATTCTTCTCATTCCAATGTCTTCTTAGATTTTTATTTTATCTGTCTGTCTGTGCCAATGTCTTCTTCAGATTAGTATTCTCATCCTTTCTCTTTTTATCATCATTCTCTGTGCCAATGTCTTCTTCAGATTAGTATTCTCATCCTTTCTCTTTTTTCATCAATGTCTTCTTCAGATTAGTATTCTCATCCTTTCTCTCATTCTCTCTGTGCCAATGTCTTCTTCAGATTAGTCATTCTCTCATCCAGATTAGTATTTCATCCTTTCTTTTTTATCATTCTGTCTGTGCCAATGTCTTCTTCAGATTATCCTTTCTCTTTTTTATCATTCTATGCCAATCCTTCAGATTAGTATTTCATCCTTTCTCTTTTTATCATTCTGTCTGTGCCAATGTCTTCTTCAGATTAGTATTCTCATCCTTTCTCTTTTATCATTTTTTTATCATTCTCTCTGTGCCAATGTCTTCTTCAGATTAGTATTCTCATCCTTTCTCTTTTATCATTCTCTCTTGCCAATGTCTTCTTCAGATTAGTATTCTCATCCTTTCTCTTTTATCATTCTGTCTGTGCCAATGTCTTCTTCAGATTAGTATTCTCATCCTTTTCTTTTTATCATTCTGTCTGTGCCAATGTCTTCTTCAGATTAGCATTCTCATCCTTTCTCTTTTTATCATTCTCTCTATGCCAATGTCTTCTTCAGATTAGTATTCTCATCCTTTCTCTTTTTTATCATTCTTTTGCCAATGAATTATTCTCATTTTCTCTTTTTTTAATGCCAATGTCTTCTTCAGATTAGTATTCTCATCCTTTCTCTTTTTATCATTGCCAATGTCTTCTTCAGATTAGTATTCTCATCCTTTTCTTTTTATCATTCAATGTCTTCTTCAGATTAGTATTTCATCCTTTCTTTTTTATCATTCTCTAATACCAATGTCTTTTCAGATTAGTATTTCATCCTTTCTCTCTTTTTATCATTCTCTCTGTGCCAATGTCTTCTTCAGATTTATTCTCATCCTTTCTCTTTTTATCATTCTCTCTGTGCCAATGTCTTCTTCAGATTAGTATTCTCATCCTTTCTCTTTTATCATTCTGTTGTGCCAATGTCTTCTGAAGTATTCTCATCCTTTTCTTTTTATCATTCTGATTATCCAATGTCTTCTTCAGATTAGTATTCTCATCCTTTCTCTTTTTATAATGTTTGTATTCTCATCCTTTCTTTTTATCATTCTGTTGTGCCAATGTCTTCTTCAGATTAGCATTCTTTTTCTCTTTTATCATTCTCTCTATGCCAATGTCTTCTTCAGATTAGTATTCTCATCCTTTTCTTTTTTATCATTCTCTCTTGCCAATGTCTTCTTCAGATTAGTATTCTCATCCTTTCTCTTTTATCATTCTGTCTGTGCCAATGTCTTCTTCAGATAAACATTCTCATCCTTTCTCTTTTTATGAATAATTTTTCTCAATATCTCCATAATTCTCTTTTAATTATTTGTTAGATTTTTATTCTTTTATTTTATTTATAACTTAATTTTAATCTTTCTCTCTTTCTGTCTTCTATTTTCCCATACCCTTTTCCTGATCATTTCTTTATACTCATTGCTGAATTGATTTGTTTGATTATCCCGTTTAAGCTCATAATGTTTGTACTTGCATCGTTTAATGATTACTTCACTCGATAAAATCTGATAATCTTTTTTTGAAATTGTTTTCATTTCTTTCCAAATGTTTGATATATATCTACTTTTATATTTGTCAGCAATCTATAAACATTACTTGAAATATTTATTTTATGCTGTCACTTAAATGTGGCCTGTTATCATTGTTGATATTTTGTTAGTTCTTATTTCTGCCTTTGCAATTCTTAGATTTATATACAAGATAGAATTAAAAACAACATCTGTGAATTCTTATCAAATGCATTTGCACCACACAATTTAATCTTCCTTATTCTTCAAATTTTTTTGGAGGATTTGTCCACATTGTATTTCCTTATTTAAAAGAAAATGATATTTTCAGTGATATCAGTCCCTGTCCTTCATCTTTTATCAGAATTTTGCTGGTACATCAAAAATAAAGTTCTTGTTCTTCTTTAATATGAATAATGAACAATTAATTTCCAACATCTATTGATTTATTTATTAGGCAGAGATTTTTGCTCGAAGGCCATACATGTTGTATCTCAATGAAAATCAATCTTGTTCATCTAGCTATGTGAATATCTCACAATTCAACACGCATATACATCATCAGTAATAAATTCTTAAGTATCTGAGAGACAAGTACATTTTACTTTTTTAAAATATGAGCGACAATGCAGAAAGCGGAATGAGTTCAAATTCCAGTAGAGTCATCTGTTGTTCTCTTCACACTTATGCCTTTGGAAAGTGAAAAATCAATTTCTTCTGTCTACAAGAGAAATAGAGCAAACTTGGAGGGGAAAATTTAAATTCAAAACCACCTTGAAAGAAGAAAAAAGCCATTGAAGAACAATTTTGACAATACAATGTTTATATATATTAAAAGAAAATTGTGGAGATTCATGACCCCCTATTCATTTAAAAGCTGTCTCACTCACACACACACACACACACTCAGTCAGTCTATGAACTGCTAATAATTTGAAGACAGTGTTAATCATTTCACTCTATGCAAGGCAATATAGCCACAGGGGATTGCTGTGAATGAAAGACTAAAAAAAAATAACATTGTTAAGGAGGGAGAACAATAAAAGAACATTCAAAATGACAGTAGATAATGATTGACATTGCATTTAAATTTTTGAAGATCAAAGTTGTGTTGGAAAGCATGGACCTAGAAATATTCCAGAAGCAAGAGCTGTGAGAGAAGAAACTGTTAGCATATAACTTAGTTACATCAATCCATTTCAACTGTAAAATGAGACCGAACTGCCAATCTAGTACTGTGCTTAAATTGATAAGCAAAGTTCATCAGACTATTACCATGAAAATATTTATAGAAAAGACACAAGGAAGCTATGTTTATATATATATATATATATATATATATATATATATATATATATATATATATATATTTTTTAATTTTCTTTTCTCTTCATTGATAATTGTTCTTAATATTAGAAATTCTCTCATAATTAGTTCAAATATCATGAGTAAAGAATTCACATCTTTTTTTTATTCACTTCTGTTTCATTTCATTAGCCACTTCAACTCAATTGATACAGAAAATTAATTGCTGCTTAATAAATACATTTCCCTTTTATGTGAAATGACTGTCATCTCTCTCCATAGCTTCCTGTCCTTTGTAGCTATCAGCAAATGTTATTCCCTTAAAATCCCTCCCACTTTCAGATCTTAGCTATTCAATGTTTTACCTTACTTCTCTTGCTTTCATTATCTCCTGTAAGTATTATATTTGCCAAGCCTTCTTTCCTCATTATATGGCTCAGAACTTTTAAATGTCTCTTTCTGATTTTAATTATAAATCTTCTTTTCATTTCTATTTTCCTTAAATGTAGTTTTAGCTTTTCTTCTGTAAAATCACATTTCTCCCATTTTAAGTCATATATCATATTTTATGTACAATACTTCTTCAGGACGTAGGTGATCATGGCTCTCCACAATTTCTTATCTTTTTTATCACTTAATGTATTTTATTTTTGTTATTGCTCCTAAGCGTTAATCTGCCATTCATTTACTGAAGCTCATTAGGCAAGTTATTCATTTCCTCTACCCCTCTTGCATCTGCGAGTATCAAATTTACCAGACCCTCTTTTCTCATTGTCTGTCTTTTTTTTTTAAATTGGTCTCACCCCATGCAAGATGGCAAAGTCACTAAGAAACAAGGGGTTACTGGGTGTGGAAGAATTAGGAACAGAAACATTAATGATGACTGGGAAGAGTAATCAGGACAGCTGATAGTGATTGACATTGCATTTAAATTTTTGCAAATTAAAGTTGGCTAGAAAGCATGAAGCCAGAAAGAAGTTCCATGAGTAATAAATGTGAGAAAAGAACCTGTTAACATAGAACTTACGGTGTCATCTAGCCACCTCAACTGTACTTTGATGAGATTTTCAATTAAAAATTTCAGTTGACACTTCCTGATACTTCTAAAACTTTATTATTGCTCACATGTTTGGTCAATAGCGTTTTCAGTATCCTCAAGAATCACATTTCTTTTATTCCGAGTCTCTTTGTCATTTGTTTTGTTTTACGGCAAATTAACCTCAATGGCTTATTTAATGCCAAGAAGATTTTAGGGATGTGTTTGTATGAATAGAATATGGATTCTTTGTAAGAAAAAGAAATCAGTTTGTAGATGAGGTTTCACTGACATATTTTTGTAAAGAGGGTTTATGTTGAGAACCAAATGTATTGCTGGTAATATTTTTTTTCCCAAAAAGTATTGCTGGTATTAAAACTTTCATAATATTTTGACTCTTTTTGATTGGTTAACTATTTACTCATAGCTGGGACACTGACAGGTGTTACCACCCCCGGTCAGGGTGGACTTGGAAACACCAGCAATTAAGGGATGGTTCCATGCTCCACAAAACCTCCCAATTAAAGGCCTTGCTGCTAGATGTAGTTTATCATCATCCCTAGGATGTCTTCATTTGTGAGGAGATTGTCCAGCATTCAATGCTTCACAAAATATTAATTACCTTTTCGTTATTTCATGCTTATTTGGCCACTTTCATAATTTATTTGTCTCCCTCTTCTCTCCATTCTGCATTTCTTCTTTTTTGCTCACTGCATTATTATCCTATTCTCTGGTGTTAATAGACAATATCAACCTTAATCTACATAGATTACTTCTCTGATTATCTGATGCAAATACTCACCCAGTTGATGAGTCCTTAGTTTCACTTGGAGATTTCTAATCTTGTTTAAGTCGCATCCAACAATATTCTCCAACTGCCCGAGTCACTGAATGTATCAACTGACAATTACAAGGTGTCGCTATGGTCAAGTAGTCTATGAATTGATGAGAGGCTGGAATGCTATTCCTTCCATGATTAAGGCTTTATTGAATGCTTCTGTGAGTATCAACAATCTCTTGTTACGACCTTAAAACAGTTTGGAAGGCGATGCATGTACTCAATCACTTTCTTACCAAGAAACAATGATAATCCAGTTCAGTTGGATATTTTAAGATGTTTAATGATTTGGTTACTCGAAAGATGTTGCTTAATTTGTTGTTTTTTTATAGAGCTTATCAGAAAATATTGTTAGATCTAAAAAAAAAATGTTGTGGAGATAATGATGTAATGATCTCCTAATTAACCCATATTTGGGGGTAGAAGAGGTGGATTCAGAACTTTCTAAAAAGTATTTGAATGTAAGTAAATATAACGAACCTGATTGAAATTATCCATTACACCATCCAAGCTTACAGCACCTGGTGTTCCCAAGCAGTCACTCATCTAGGTACTGACCAGGCTTGGTGTTGCTTAACTTCAGTGGTCATACAAGAACCAGTGTTTCAGTGTGATATGACCAAAATCACCAGGTCGAGAAAAGAATGGTTAATCATTTTCCTTGGAATTCAATTCATTATAGACTGTGACAATGTATTGTAGAATGATTCACCTTTTTGACATGGTTTACCTTTTCAATACGAAACTGTGAAAAAGGCAAATCCTTCAGACTAGATATCAATCTAGTTTGATTTCATACAAACCTCTGCTCTTGATATTTTATTAATCACACAGGTTTATTATTCTTTTATTATCAATTCTGTTAAAGTGACTTTTATTATTAACAATGGGAATTACTCCAAATTGGTGGCCACTAGATGACATAGTAATAAGTATAAACGTGAAAGATTCACACTGTATCTCTATCAATATATATATATATATAGTGTGAATGCTTCACTTTTATACTTATGATTACTATGTCATCTAGTCGCCACCAAGTTGGAATAATCCTATTAGTTAATAAGTATATATATATATATATATATATATATATATATATATATATATATATATATATATATATATATTGTCTCACTCTCCTGATCAAAGATTTAAGACCACTTGAAAATATTTTATAAGAGACTGTTTGTCATGGATACATTATAATCTTTTTCTTAAGGTTACTAATTTTGTAATCTAAAAGGTTATGTAGACAAAAAGTTATAATCCGATCAATTTATTCAGAAATGAACATTTATATAAAATGAGGCATTTTCCACTTGATCAAAATTATAAGAGCAGGCGGGTATAAATTGTTAGATCTAGGGTAATTCCAATGTTTTTAGTTCAGTTAGAGATTAGCAATCATTGCATAAAGGTGTCACCGTGCCTAAAGAAAGCAAACTTACCGAAGTTGAGCGTGCTCGAATTCTAGATTTCCATAATCAAGTGTTTGTCACAGCAGGCGATCGCAGCTAAGGTAAATCGCAGTAAAACTGATTTGCAACTTTCCAAA